GGCAGGAGCAAAGAAGTATGAAGTTGAGGCAGTCCATTCAGGACACTCTTATGAGACAGAATAGGCATTTCTGGACACAAAGGGTGAAGAAGAGACAGAGTCCACAGAGACTGTGAGACCTCAGGAACTGCCCATAAAGTCTGTACTGCCCCAGAGCCCAGCAGGAACAGGAATGAGCACAAGGTAGCACCTGCTTCAGGACCAGGCCAACCCAGCGTGCAGCTAAAGAGGGCATGAGCTTTCTTGAATTGCAAGTGTGCTATTGAAATTCTACCAAGAGAAAATTGACATTAAATGCTGGTCCTGACCCCAGCCCAGATGAGGCTGCCATTTTCCCCTGAAGCCTCCTTTTAGTCTCTCCTCCCTTACTCTAAGTGCAGCCGGGTATGCAATGAAGACCTCTTCAGCAATATTTTATAGGAACAACCAACTTACAACTCTTCTTCGCTGCAGAGCCTATTGAGGCATTCAGAGCAGCTCCCTGTCAGCAGGATCAAAATTCAGCTCTGGATTTAGAAACAACAAAAGGATCTTACTCAGCCAGGGCCTTTTGTTCACTAAATGCCTTCCCAGAATGCACAGAAACACATAATTAAAGTGCTCAGAGCACCTTTAGAGGAAACTGTCCTATAAAGTTGACAGGCCCACCAGCAAGGTTTTAAAGGGCAGCCTGTGGGTTATAGAAAAAAGATTCTGGGCACTTGGATATTTAAAAAAAAAAAAATTTCAATGCAGGTACACACTGCGCTGAATAATTATCCATCCAGAATAAATTTTTGGTAAAATAGGCTGAGCATTTAAAAAAACACAACAAGGAAATGTATTTAAATGCATCAAATAGTCATAAGAAAGCAACTGACTTCCTGCCCCCGCCTTGAGGGCTGGCACATCAGTGCCACCCACGGCCATCAAACTCCAATGCAGAGGTGGGGCTCCATGCCTGCAATTTCTCCCTCCACACTCAGGATCTGGGAATGTAGCAGCTGGATGTGTCTAGAATTTAATGAGCATTTTGCCTCAAACCACAAAAAATAGAAATATCATTTACATTCCAAATCTATTTTCCAAAACATCACTGAGTATTGACTCAATCACAGTATGTGCATTTGTTATGACAGTCATAATTTCAGGCAACAAAGTATTCCCTTCTCAATATGCCCTCAGCTTTTCTTCCATGTTGATAAGGAATGGCCCCTGCACCCAAATCAGCAGACCTTTGTTCTAGGCTAGTCCCACAGTCAGGTCATTTCCATCCCAGTGTGTTGATTTGACCCCATCAATCTGCACAAATGAGGAAGAATTTCTTGCCAGCATCTTTTCGTTCACTGGGGCTACCAAGGTCTTTAAAGGATGTCAGGTTCTACTGAACACAAGGAGCAGAGGTAGCCATCACAATTACTTTAGAGAATGCCTTAGAAAGCATCATGCTGGACACTGCCTGTGTCCCATTGTTTTCCTCCTGCATTGGGACAGATCATGTTTATTTCACTGACTACCAGGTAAAGACATTGGTTGGTAACAAGATGGGTGAAAACAACGTCACTCAAAATCCTAGTGCTCTGGTCTACGTGGGTAGACGCTCTTGCCTTGAGAAGTAGGTGGGCTCCGAGACTGCCCCACTTGTCTCAATCTCTCTCCAAGGTATACACGGAGTAGGACCATGGCTGGGCAGAATCACTCCCATATCTCTGCCTCTTAACTGTCTTCTGTTGAAGAGCAAAAGTATAGATAGGAGGCAAATCTATCCTATCTCAACATTCTTCTCTTCTTCATCCTGACTCCCAGATTCCAGTAACTCTCATGCCAGACTCTCATTCCAGTCTCTTGCCAACACCTACTGTCTGAGTCAACATTGAGTCAAGGCTCCCTAACGGCTGCTCAAAACCTACTGGGTCCTGTTCCCCCACCAGAGTCTTGCTAAGCCCCCAATCCATTAGCCTGAAAAACTTAATTTACAGAATATGAATAGGTAAAAATGGTTTAATGTATAACACTCCCTTAGACTTTTTACAGCCTTCAGTAAAAACAAAAAACTGAGCAGAGGCCTCTCTCTGTCTTCCTCAAGTCTCCTCCCCCCCCCCCCGTGATTCTCCATCACTCTCTCTCTTTCTCTGATTTTGCTCTGTGTATTAGATACCAAACTTAGATCTCTGGCAGGGGGTAGGGAGGACAGATCTTCAAAGATGAATTATTTTACCTGGGTTTTTTTTTGTTTTTTTTTTTTTTTTTACTCCTGTATTTACTTACTTATTTGGTACAGGATCTCATTATGCAGCTCAGACTCACAGTGATCCTCCTGTCTCAGCCTCCCCAGCACTGGGATTATAGGCGTGTGCCACCATGCCTGGTTTCAGTGGCCAGCTTGGCATGGGGCCGGCACAACATGTGAACCAGGAATTGAACTCCAGTCCTTTTACTTGCCAGGCAGGTGCTTAGACTGCTGAGCTCTCCCCAGCCCTTACCTGGTCTAAAAGCAAAATTTTTGTTCTTTAAAAGACATCTTTATTTACAGTACTCTGAACCTTTTAAACTGAACATTTATTTCATGCTGGAATTAATAGTTTCTACCTGTCAAGATTTTACATAAAAAAAGAGAAAATGTAGTTCACATCTTAGCATATATTAGACATTTCTTCTGAGTATTGTGCTTTTCTCAAAGATCTGGTTTCTTATTACATTTTATGTAGGTAGAAAGAATATAGGACTTACAGTTTTAAAAAACTTAACATTCACTAAAAATATTCAGATTTTCCAAAACATTATGTACCTATTGTTTTCTTTCCCTATCTGAATACTATAGTAGGTGCCCATCATAAAAAAGAAGGGTTTCTGTTTGCTTCCTATCAACAAATTAGTGATAAATTTCAGAAAGGCATTTTCATTTGAGTCTGCTGTCAGGCAGCCACAAGCCTGTGTCGCCCCTTCCAGTCTTCTGTGCCTCCACGAAACACCAGGACCTGAACTGAAGGAAGCAGAAGACTTCTTCCAGTGTTAGGAGCCCAGTAATGCCAGTGTCTGGGTAAGACCATTGCAGTCCATCCTGAGACGGAAAAGACTATGCTACAGCCTTGGCCTGGGCTACACAGCCAGCAAAAGTGAAGTGTCAGCATATTGCACTGCTGAGATACAAAGAATTCATTGTCCCAGGGTGGCCTCGTTATCTGCCTGTGGCCACCTTGAGAAAGTAGGAGGGAGTTTGCAGAGGAGAACCCGCCATGGCTTGCACCACGCTTCTGGGCTCCTTCTGTGTTAACTGGAGATTGAACTCAGGTCCTTGTGCTTACTAAAGAAGTGCTTATTCTACTGAGCCATCTCCCCAGCCCTCTGGGCTCACTCTGATCTTTCAAGGCCCTTCCTGGCTGTCCTGGCTGTCCTGGGGGCTATGTCTGTGGCTGTGTCGCCTCGCCAGGAAGCGCATCATTTTGCCAGGAGTTCTCGGGCATAAGGAGCTCACCAAAGGAAAGGCCTCTGAACAGTTGCAAGAACTTTCAGTTCTTTGAGTCTGAATGAAGAGTTTTTTTGGGGTGGGGGTGGACTATGTGGGGAAAGAGCATTTTTAATGAGTGACTCAGATTTCTCAGTCACTGCCCTTTCATGATTGAGTTACATAAGGTTACACACTGAAGACACATAACCAGAAACATACCATTCCCAAACAAAGCAGCACACTAAACAGTTCCATGGGCAGGATAAAATCCTAACACCCTTGGCGTAAGCTAGGGAGCTAGCAAAACCCAAAGGCAGCATGAGATGGTTTTTGTGACCTAACTAGTCAGCTAAAAGGACAAAGATGATTGCTGAAAATCCAGTCCTTTACACCTACCTTCTGAGAAGCCACCTGAGGTAACAAAAGCAGTTAGACCAGTTTTCCTGTAGACTATTCCATTTGAATATAACAATGAATTCCTCACACAGTTGCCGTGGTAGCCAGTACACACTGTCCCAGGTTCCTACCTTCCTCTGAGAGAGCCCAGAGCAGGGAGGATGGGCCCAAGAAGCATCAAACAGTGAAGAAAGGGTAGCGCTCTTCGGTGCTTCTCTGTTAAGGCATCTAAGTGGGGCCTAGTCCAGAACATCATGGTGGGCCCCATAAGAACGAGGCAAAAGGCCTGTTCTGCTCTTGTCATTTCAATGCCATGGGGAGCTGTGGTTTTGGAGATAGGCTCTTTTGCACCCAGATGTATACACTCACTCTGATTAAATAAGGAGGGAAAATGGAGCGCCACAGTGGACACAGTGGTGTTCCTTCAGATTCCCCCTCACCACGATGCTGCTGAGACAGTCTACTGCCTCCAACCCTGCTCCCAGCTACAGCCCTTACTAGGAACTACCATCCACTGCAGGAGCTGCTTCCCTGGGGACACACTCCCACCAGGGGCAGCACACAGTCAGTGACTGGCCAGTGTGGCAGTGCAACTCAAAACACCTCTGAGGTATCCCGGTTGCCATTTTTCTAGGCTCACCAAAAGGCATGGTGCAACACAGTGCTGTTTGATCTCTGCCTGATCACACACACCTTCCTTGCTTTCTTCCAGATAAAATCTACTCCAAGAGCTCTTCAACAAACCTTCCACATACAGCTCTGTTTGCAGGAAACCCAGCCTAAAATGAGGATTAACAAACAGGCGTGGACCAATCCAGATAGGGCAGGCCAGGTGGGCCTGGGCTTAACAGGTTTTGAAAATGAGTTGCAATCAACTGGAACATACATTCTGTGAAATTGTGGAACAATATCTGCTTTTCTGATCACATTGTTATATTCACTCTGTAGCAGAAGAAAAGATGACTACATTGTTGAGCAAAGAAACAAGACTAGCAATATTTCCAGCGCACAGCAAACCTGTAAGAACTGCAGAGAATTCCATACTGGTAGGGTGTCTGTGATACCCAGGAGGGACCTATTGCTCGAGTACGTATCCTAGAGCTCTACTTAGGCAATAAAGCATCTGCTTGCTCCACAGTCTGTTGGAATCAGTGGTTCCCCAAAGAGAGCCTCTTACCTCCAGCACCAGCCACAGCTGTCCACCCACATAGCGATCCGCTCTGTAAAACATCCCATAAAACTTTACAACATTGGGATGATTGGGAAGAAATTGCAGAATATTGTATTCTGCCTCAATTTCTTCATCCATATCCTAAATGGGGTAAGAAACAAAACAAAAAATCCATGCTGGGTTAAGAGTAGTAGGAAAGAAAAAAAAATACAGATATGACATCATGTTCAAGTAATCAATTAATAAAGTATATTAACTGTGTATTTTAATGTGATCATTCCTCTATCTTCAAAATAACTAGCAATGGACATTTGGATCCCAATTTAAATCTTCTGGGTTAATATAGCAATATAATGGCCAGAGAGAGAGCACAGTAGAATAAGCATTTCCTGGCAAGCACAAGGTCCTGAGTTCAATCCCTGGTACCCCTA